GGCTGAGCACTGACTACACGCAGGGCGGCTGTACCGCCATGTAGCAGGGCCTCTTTCCAGAGATAAGGGTGACCGTACGCCACAGAAGTGTCAGGATGCAATCACACCCTCTGTCAGTGCACAGGCTGGGGTTGTTAAACACACTGGGCAGCTCTTAACATTGTACCATGAGAACACTTTGAAGTAAGAGCTCGAAGCACTTCACTCAGCTGAGTCACTATCATTATCTCCGTTTTACAAATGGGGAAACTGAGGCAGGGAGCGATAATATGTGTCTACTCTATCTAAGTACTTAACGAGTGTTCCAGGTTGGGCAACCAAAACTGGAGGCACCCAAAATCAGCAGTCACTTTTGGAAAAGTTGGCCAGAGACCCATAGCGAATCCCTGGCAGAGTCAGGACACAGAACCCAAATCGGCTGGCTCCCAGGATATTTCATAAATCAAAGCAATGCATCCATTTAATCATGTTACACATGAAATGCTGGTGCAATGGGATGGAGGTGAACTGTGCCTCCTTCACAGCTTCCTAGCTACTTTAGACGCACAGACCTGGGAAACAACGTGACCCTTAATCCCATGGACCATGGCGTCTCCAGCGTTTGAGGGTGGTACCTGCAGGAGCTATTCCAAATATACTGGCTCTCCCAACTTCCAGCTTAAACCTCTTGACTGTATTCCCACTGCACGTCGCAATGGCGAGGAAACCCAGACGAGGCTAGTGTGAGCGCAATGCTTTGAAGTCCTGATAGCCGTGCAGTGGGTTTTCGGTAGCCTCGGGCCCCCTGTGTCACTGTTAATGGTCCTGAAAAATCCCAGGTGCTCTAGAGCATTTTGAAAAGCAAGGAGACCTCTGTGTAACTGATGCACAATGCGCTCCCTAGCAAAGCGCTGGGATGGGAGTCTCGGGAGCCCCTGGATTTTTTCCATCCCCGAGCAGATTGCTTGTTTGATCTGGAAGATTTCGCTGTCAGGGCCAATTAGAAGCAGCTGTTTAACACAGGCCTGTCTGCTCCCCTACCCCCACCAGCTTCACCACTCTTCTTCCCTGCATCCCCCTGGCTGGTGGGAAGGTATGGTTGCAGCACTCGGCAGGGCCGCCCAGAGGATTCAGGGGGCCTGGGGCAAAGCAATTTCGGGGGCCCCTTCCATTAAAAAAAAATGGCAATACTATAGAATACTATATTCTCGTGGGGGCCCCTGTGGGGCCTGGGGCAAATTGCCCCACTTGCCCCCCTCCCCTCCCCCCGGGCGGCCCTGGCACTCGGAAGAAGCAAGCTCCTGTCTGTAGTTCCCAGGTGCTGATTGATTTCAAAAAGTGGGCTTTTGTTTGTTTCATTGAGTGTTTTGTGAACCCCTTCGGCATCTCCATGGTTGGAAGGCTTTGCGGATTGGCTCCTGTCCCTGTTTACATTATGCCTCCATTACTTGGTTTTGTTCCTTCAGCAATGCATTTTAATCTACATCTTGTGATGGGGTGTTTGCAGGTGGGTGCAGTCCCTCTCCTGAATAGAGCCATGGAGACCAGGTGGTAGTTCTCTCCCCTGATTGCGTTCTGGCGAGGATGCTCCTTTATGAGAGTGCCTGAGTGTTATTCATTTGGTAGCTGTCAGTTTCATTTTGTAATTCTGGAATATGCAACCTGTGGAACTCACTGCTGCATGAGGTGAACAGCTCCGATTCAAGACCAAATGGAGCAGAATCTGAGATCCCATCAGTGAGGAAAAAATGGAAAAGTGCTCTCATTCCTCATGCTTTCACAGTTCAAGTTGTCAAAGGAGGTCAGGAAGAATGGCATTGTGTCTTGCAATTAGGTGTGCTGTTAATACCTTCCTCTACAGCAGACTGCCTTGGTCATTCCCAGAGGCAGGGCACCAGCCCAGGTATTCTGATTTATCTGGCTATGGGATTAGATGGAGGATCGGTCTGCTCAGAAGTAACCATTCCTGATGGGCGTTACAGTGAGAGAAGCCAGGTGGGAAAGTTGTGGGGACTTGGGAGACTCCAAATAGCTGGATGTGAGCAGCTGATTTGGAATCCTGCCCAAGAATTGCCTGTGCTTATTCTCCGTCGCTAGCTCCCAAGGAATCCAGAGTTGCCGTGGAGCAGGATCCTGCCCCAGTGATGGACAGAGCGCAGATCGGTGCAACGTCTTGCAGTTCCATTGCACAACCACGGGCCAAGCTAGTGCAGGGTGAATGTGATGCGGGGGAGGGCGGAGACACAGGCCGGTCAGCTCGCCTGTATTTGGAGAGCGACGCCCACAGATTCACTCCATCGGGGCCACTCTCACTGCCTGCCCCTCGCCCCAGAGGAGCAAGGAGTGAGGGAGAAATGTGAGGGGAGAGGGCCTGAGATGGCTGTAGCTACAGACTGGGGAGGGATCATGGGACACAGGAAATGCTGAAGCTAAAAATCGATGGGGAGTGATATCTCTGAATCAGAAAAACCTCCAGTCCCGACTTGTGGCCCGCTCCACACCACCAGCTTTCTGACCCTGGATGGCTTCTGCGGCGAGGCTGCCTGCTGGACCTGGGACAAACTAGACTCCACCTCCAGACTCCTGTTGTGACCTGAAACGAATGTGAACACCTGGTCTGTCCCCTTCCCCGTGATGAGCCAGGCTGGGTAGGAGAGCAACTGCGTGTCCCATGGGTCACCTAGGAGCAGGTGCTGCTTGGGCATTAGCCAATCTCTGCTGGCTGCTCAGAGATGAGTACGCTCTTCCCAGCACTGACCCGTGGGACTCCAGATCTTCTAGCAGCACCGGGCACTGTCCTATCACTCGGCCTGCCCTGCTGCTCCCTTCTCTCTGCTATCCAGACTCGACACACCTGCTTGGAAAGAGGTGGGACGGGTCCATCTCTCTGCACGGGCTTCCCTGCCCTCCCTTGAAGCAGACCACCCCTGCCCAGCGCCAGCCAGACGCAGGCTGTGTAACTCATATGGGGTCATGTGTCACCTTTCCAAACAATCACCCTCAGAGTCGCTGTCTGGGGGATAATTAATCCTAAGATTCACCTTGAGAGAAGACAGTAGGTGTAATTCAGCCCGATCCTCCCACCTGAAGACTCCCTCCATCGCACACTGGACCTGTTGGCCTTAAAGAGATCGGACCCCCTTCTTTTATTTTTCTCCGTAGATCTGTTGGCATCGAGATATATCCGGGGGCAGGGAAAGATGAACTGTCCAGGTTGCTGGACAATTCAAAACACTCCACATTGATCTCGTCAGCATTTCTGGTAAACCTCCCCTTGATGTCAGTGGGAGCAAGGCAATGCCACGTGTTTCTGAAATGCTCCATGTATAGCAGGAACAGATTTCATTCTGCTAGCCCTGCTGTAAATCCATTGAACTCGCTGCTGTAAAGGTGCAAGGTCAGACTGGCCTGACTGTTAGTGTGGCGATTGACACACCAGGGACTTCCTGCTCTTTAAGCTGGTGCAGCAGAAAGCGATATACGTTTTTTAATAATTTTGGTGGATAGTATCAATGATTATTTTTCTGTTTTTTATTGGTTTAAATGTTCACAGTTGCAGGAAATTGTGGGAAGTCAGACCATGGGGGAGATCAGATAATTATTTAATGATAGTAGATGCTGAGATTCAAAAAGGTAAAGCTTTCTAACCACTAAAACACAAATATTGGATGTCACGTGTCAGAATATACAAAGTAAATATCCCTACCTCGAACTTTAGTAAGTTCTCGAGCAGCGTTTTTCTTACTTTGCCTTTCTGTATATTTCAGTTATTTCTGGTTTGGGTGTGTATGGTGAAATTGACATTTATTGACATTCCCTGATAAAAATCGAATCCTTCCAAGTCTTCCTATAAACCTGACTCAATTTGTGCTACAGAGCTTGGCTCTTAAGCTGAAAGCCATAACAGTCCCATAGCCCCTGTGAATGGGGCATAGCCAGGAACATATCTCTCTCTCTCTCTCTCTCTCTCTCTCTCTCACACACACACACACACACACACACACACACACACACACACACACACTCTGATCAGGGGTTACGCTTCCAACTTGTGTAGCCATTTAAACCAGTGCAAAGAGGTGTAAAACGCAGCGTCACCGACTCTCGCGATTTGATCACGAATCTTACGGTATCTGGTGTTTTACTTACGGTCCCAGCTCTGGGAGTCATGTGATTACATGAGCCTCTCAGCTTTCAAGAAAAAAAAAAAGGTAACTTGCTAGCCCTCCTGTTTGCGGAGGAAAGCTTGGGAACAGAACCCGAATGTAAGCCAATCTCATGATTTTGAGGGCCTGACTTGGGCTATTTTTTGCACATTTGGTGTTGGCGATGCTGAAAACTTTAACCCCCCCGGTGCGGGGGAGGGGCAAATCATTTCTGATTATTACACCTCTACCTCGGTATAACGCTTTCCTCGGGAGCCAAAAAATCTTACCGCGTTATAGGTGAAACCGCGTTATATCGAACTTGCTTTGATCTGCCGGAGTGTGCAGCCCCGCCCCTCCTGGAGCGCTGCTTTACCGCGTTCTATCCGAATTTGTGTTATATCGGGTTGCGTTATATCGGGGTAGAGGTGTATTTGCATTACCAGGCCCACATCGCGCCAGGCACTGTACAAACATAGAATGAAAAGATGGCTGCTGCCAAAGAGGCTTGCAATCTAAAAAGGCAACGGATGGAGACCGATGGGGGAGTACACGGGAACAGAGAGACACTATTGGCCTGCATTGTAGGCCATAGTCTCTGCACAGCAGCAGTAGTGATTTGCACCCCCGGCACTGGTGTAAATGACTCCCCGAGGGGCAGGACAGAGGGAAATCGGGCTCAATTATTGTTCCTTGAGGATGCGGTCGTGTCTGCAGGAGGAGGAGGCAGAGGAGTGAATAGAGGGTGGGCACGTGGAAGCCAGTCTGCATTTCCATCGCCACTTGGGACCAGTTTTCCAGCTCACTTAGGCCTGCGCCCGCTTCCCAGCCCTGCCTTGGCTCACGTTGTGTTTCTCTTCCTCCGGTATTTCACAGGCTACCTGACTGTCAGCATTGAGCCGCTTCCGCCTGTGGTGGTCGGGGATGCCGTGACTTTGAAATGTAACTTCAAGACGGATGGCAGGATGCGGGAGATAGTCTGGTACCGGGTAAGTGACCATCCATTAACCCTCCTGGGACTGGGACAGGGACAGGGTCAGGCAGGCTGTTCTTCCAGCGCGTGGTGTGAGGCTGGAGGGATGTCAGAGGAAACTGTCAAGAGGTTTCTTGGTGATGGAAGCATCGATTACCCAGCCATAGCTGCCTCGTCCGATCTAAAAGGGGATGAGACAGGAAGGCTTGGGTTGGCTTTGTTTTGCTTTTAAATGAATGGCAAAGAAATAGTCGTGAGATCATCCCCAGGGTCCTTCTGACACTCGCTCCAGTAGTTTTGTGATGTTCCCTCAGTGGGTTTTGGCGCTTGGCAGTTTAACTAACAGGGCCTTGCAAAGAAAGGGAAAAAGCGGTGGCTGTTTACATCCGCTGGCCATGATGGTGTCTGGAAGATTATTGCTAGGGACGCCCTGTGCTATCAGGGCTGTTTGGAGCTGGGGCTCCCATTAGCCCCACTGGAGAGAGACGAGACTTCATTGCAAAGCATAGATTTGGCTCCCAGAGTTCAGGGGGTCTGGATCTGGCGTTATACAGCCAGGGGCCAACTGCAAAGCTCTGATTTGGATTGGGACTTTCCCAGTGTTTGGATCTGGGAGTTTCCTTCCCGCCATGCTGTAGCTCCCAATGCACACAAGTGTGGCCTTACATCCCAAGAGAGTCTTAAACCGGCCATTGTATGTTATTTCCATGCTGGGGCAGTCAGCTGCCAAAGTATGCATCTCCCTGCCCCCTTGGGAGCTGGACATGCTACCATAATGCCACGTCCAGGCCAGGCACAATGCCAGTGGAGTCAGAGTCAGCTCAGAGTGACAGAGAGAGACCTGCACTCTGCCCAGGGAACACGATCCTGTTCTCTTGTCGGGCCAAAGTGACCTCTCTGCATAAGCAGGTAGCAGACTCTCTTCAGGGAGAGGGCAGCTGGGTCAGTGCTGGGCAGAAGCCTGTGTGAAGGCTGGGCTAGGTCTGAATTGGGAGCAAAGCAAATCTGGTGCCTGTAACTCTACCCCGGCGAGCACCAGTCAGAATGGGTCGTTTGCGTTCTCGACGACTTCGCCCATCTCGCTTTGCCTGTGTTTGAACGGAAATCAAACTCGGTGTTTATCTGACTTTCCCTGTGAACAGCTGGGGTGACAGCGGGGAGCATCTCTGGCTGGGGGACAGAACGGATGGGGTGACAGCGGCGAGCATCTCTGGCTGGGGGGCGGGAGGGGCGGGGGGGGCGGCGGGGGAGCACCTCGGGCGGGGGGATGGAACGGATGGGGTGACAGCGGCGAGCACCTCTGGCTGGGGGATGGAACGGATGGGGTGTCAGCGGCGAGCATCTCTGGCTGGGGATGGAACGGATGGCTCGCACAAGCATGCAAAGTTCTGTGCGTCGGCTCTATTTAAAAGATGAAATCAGTGCATCGTAATGACAGGTCAGAGGTGCCGCACGGCACAGCGTGTGTTAAATGGACTGAGACGCATTTGAAACCTGGGGTCAGGGAACTCGCCTGCACAGATTGAACAATGAACGGCAAGCCGCGTCCTCCTGATCGATGGACTAATCCGGTGCCCATAGAAGTGAGGGGCTAAGTGCAAACCGGGGTAAACCAGGCTTTGTGCAGGACAGTGCTGGGCCAACTTCTTTCACAGAGCTCTGCCACTGCGCCTCAGTGCTGACCTGCTGTCCCAGTCGCTGGTCCCCACCCAGCTCTGCCTCTCAGCCTCCACTACACTGGAATTCACAGCTCTGCTGACACGCCTTGCTCCTTAATCTGTCAGCCCCCTGTATTATACAGGCCGCAGCTCCCTGGCTGTACAAGCTACTCATGTATCTCAACCTGATAACACGTAGTCCTGGAAGGCTGTGCGTTAATGAGGGGCCTGGGAGCCCCTCAAACAACCAGCCAGTTGTGCCAGATGACGTCCATGGTAGTGGTTCTGTGGTGACATTGCCCAGCCCAGGTGCATGGAGGTGAAAGGTGGATGCACTAGCCCTGGTGCTACCTAGCTCCCCAAACACTGAACAAACAAACCCGTTTAGGTTCACCCGTGGGACAGCAACATTAGCTTCAGTAGAGCTCCACCAGCCTTGAATTTAGCCCACAGTCCTTTAATCCCCAGATGCTTTTCCCCAATGTGCATCCCTCCCTTCCCTGCTGCTATCTTCAAAGAGCCCACGGTGGCTGCGCACGAGGAAATCAGCCTCGTGAGCAGGAAACACTGGAACAGACCCTGACTTGTTCCTTCGAGGTCTGGGAAGCTGTTCTCCCTTTTCCAGCGTTGTTTGCATAGATGCATTCTAAAGTGGAGAGAGAAATCATCAATCTGTGTGTGTGTGCGAGAGAGAGAGAGAAATCTACGTGTGGGTGTGGGAGCATGGATCAGATATGTGGATGTGCTACTCCTGGGGGAATTCTGCACCACTGCGCATGTGCAGAATTCATGTCCCCTGCAGATTTCTTTGTTTTCCTGCAGCAAAATGACTTTCTGAGGGGGAAGCAAAGGGACGCCACAAGAGCGGTCCTGCGACCTTCCCCAGCAGTGTGTTTTGGGTGCCCATGGCAGCCAGCAGAGAGGTAAATCACTGTGGGGCAGGGGGCGGGGCTGGGGAAGACCTGGCTGGTGGCTCCTACACTGCTCCAGCCTCATCTGCTAGTCCGGCTGGGCTGGGGAGGATGGGATTCCTCTTCCCCTGCACAATGGTGCAGAATGCCCTCAGGAGTAATGTACTGATGATTCATGCATATGGGAGAGGGCGTGATCTCTCTTTCTGTGTGTGTGTGTGTGTGTGTGTAAGTCCTGTGTATGGCTGTGGGTGTGCAAGTGGATGTCATCTGTTTGTGTATGGACATGTGGGATCTGAGAGTGTGTACGTTTGTGAGAAATGCATGTTCGTGATCTCTGTGTTTATGTGCAGGTGTGTGGTCTGGGTGTGCGAGATCCATAACTGTCTGTATGAGAGATCTATGTCTGTATAATCTATGTATATACACTTGTGATCCATGTGGGTGTATGTATGCACCTGTTTGCCTATGTGTATGTGTGTGCGTAAGTGCATGTGGAAACTGTGTGTGTGTGTGAGACCAGAGAGAAAGGTCTGTGTCTCAGATAAAGACCAGCGCTTATTAGCAAACTGTCTGAGCTCATTTAGCTCCAGGTCACTTGGACAGCAGAAAAGCCAAAAGGGCTGTTTATATTGCAGAAATGTATTAAACCTCTTCAGAGCATCATGGGAATTTATCTCCACCTGCCAATTTTGTCTGTCTTTTTCCGCACCTCACAAATTGTCCTCGGTGTTTTAGTTGCTGCTGCCCTGGGGTCACAGCAAGCCAGACGCCTCTGGAACGCAGAGAGATCTCTATGGTGTGATAAACACCGCTGCTTCCCAGCATAGCCCCCTCCTTAGTGCTCCAGCCCCGTGTGGGTGGGTGGGTGGGTGTGTGAACACGCCCTCGCATGAGTGTCTAACATGGACCCCTTGGTTTGCACAGGGAAGCGACCAAGGTAGACTTCAGTTTGATAGCTAGTGTACTGCGCAGAACTGGAGGAGATGTGCATGGAATACTAGGGACTTGCTTTCCAGGGGGTCCGTGAGGGACTGGGGCTTGGGACCGGGGACCCAAGATGGGATGGCGAAGACTGTTTCACCAGCCCCCAAGCTACGGGGAAATGGGGCTGGAGAGCAGATCCTGCTCCGGCAGAAGAAGCCAAATAGCATGTTGTGGCCTTCGTTCCTTCACCTTGGCCTCCCATGACACAGACTCGGAGCAGTGGGTTCAGCGTCCATCCCAAACCTACCATAGTATGAATAGCCTAAGGCTTCCTTTGAACTTTCTGGGCTCTGCCATTCACACTGTATCCCAATGGACGTGACCACTAACGCCATCTCCTAATGCGCTCTGCCATGAGCACCGTATCCTCTATCACAGCAGAAGGAGCGATATCAGGGACTGATTGTTATTGTGCTCTGTTATTACTATTGATCCGTGTGATGGTTGCACTTAGAGACACAACCAGAATCAAGGCCCCATTGTGTTAGGCGCTGTATGTACCAGTACCCTGCTGAACTCTGCCATCAACTCCGTATCTCCTCGGAGAGCAGAGGCTGGTACAGTCTCAACCAGTCACTATCCCTTGGGATAACAGGGTTAATATCATGGCCTGCATCCAGGAAGGCCCCTGCTGATGATACTCAATCTGCTGGTCTCCTGAACTCTTGTTTGGCTGGTCATAGAATCCTAGAACTGGAAGGGACCTCGCAAGGTCATCTAGTCCAGTCCCCTGCACTCATGGTAGGACTAAGTATTATCTAGACCATCCCTGATAAGTGTTTGTCCAACCTGCTCTTAAAAATCTCCAATGATGGAGATTCCACAACCTCCCTGAGCAATTTATTCCAGTGCTTCACCACCCTGACAGGAAGTTTTTCCTAATGTCCAACCTAAACTTCCCTTACTGCAATTTAAGCCTGTTGCTTCTTGTCCTATCCCCAGAGGTTAAGGGAAACAATTTTTCTCCCTCCTCCCTGTAACAACCTTTTATGTACTTGAAAACTGTTATCATGTCCCCTCTCAGTCTTCTCTTCTCCAGACTAAACAAACCCATTTTTTTCAATCTTCCCTCATAGGTCATGTTTTCTAGACCTTTCATCATTTTTGTTGCTCTTCTCTGGACTTTCTTCAATTTGTCCCCATCTTTCCTGAAATGTGGTGGCCAGAACTGGACACAATACTCCAGTTGAGGCCTAATCAGCACAGGGTAGAGCGGAAGAATGACTTCTCGTGTCTTGCTTACAACACTCCTGCTAATACATCCTAGAATGGTGTTTGCTTTTGTTTGCAGCCGTGTTACATGCCCGCACAAGCCTGTGCATTGATTCAGATCATCTGCGACTCCCCTTCCCCTCGGCACCAGCCCTCGTTCATTCTGACTCCTGGCTGCTTCTGTAATCTCCTGTCTGTCCTCAGGACGTGGGAGAGGACCAGACAGAATCGGTCACCGGGATTTGACT